CATCACATCCATCTTAGTGTTGTTCCCCAATTTTACTAAATGTCAAAAATTTTCATCAATTTCATTGAACATAGTTCGATCGCTGCTCATGTGATTAGAGCACCCTGAATCAAGGAACCATGAATTTTCTCTTTTCTTCTTCATCATCAAACTCTGTATAATTTGCTTCTTTGTTCCAAGACGGACATTCATACCGAAAATGTCCAAGTTTATGGCATCGGTAACACTCCACAGTTGCCTTGTTGAAGATTGCTCGACCTCTTACTCTTTATCTTCTTATGTAGCTACCATAACCACGACCTCTTCCTCCTTCAGATGTCATTTTCACAGCCTGTTCCTCACTATTTCGTCTCTGAAATTTTTCTTCAGATGTCACTTTCAAAGCCTGTTCCTCACCATTTCATCTTTGAAACTTCTGTTCATATACTATTAATGAGCTTTGTAACTCATCAACAGTAAGGACATCAATGTCCTTTGACTCCTCAATAGAACATACAACATAGTTGAACTTCTCAGTTAAAGAGCGTAGAATTTTCTCCACCACTTTAACATCCTGCATATTTTCTCCATAAGTTCGCATTTTGTTGGCCACTTTCATGACCTTAGAGAAGTACTCTGTCACTTTTTCACCGGACCTCATCTCAAGAGTTTCAAATTCTCTGCGGAGAGCTTGAAGATAAGACCTCTTGACCCTTGCATTTCCTTCGAATTTTTTCTTCATGGAGTCCCATATATCTTTGGCAGTATCCTTCTTGAGAATGGTGTCAAGAATGGTTCGGTCGATTGCCTGGAAGAGATAGTTCTTCACTTTAAGATCCTTTAGCTTCATCTCATCATTCTTCTTTCATTGTGCATCTGTCTGCACCGTTTCACTTGTTGGCTCAATATAGCCAGGCTCCATCAGCCCCCAAAATTCCTTATATCGTAGAAAATTTTCCATCAACATGCTCCAATGATCATAGTGACCATCAAAGCGAGGAATGGCTGGCTATATAAAACTTCCTTCCGTAGTCATCTTATGTGCTGCTGCAAGAACTTCAAAGACTACTGCTTTGATTTATCAGGCCCAGTAGGAGCTCTAATACCAGAATGTTAGGAATTTTGAAACTAAGAACAAGAACACAACAAGCTGGATTGAATGACTATATTTTATTAACAATAACTTTGGCTTAAATATCCATTCAATACACGATTTAACAGAAACGAAAAAGCAGCCCACTTAGCAGAAATAAAGCTAAGTGGTAACAGAGACTTGAAACAAATCAAATACGTGTAAATATCCCTAAAAAACTAGGACTTTATTCTAACAGAAGAACTGCTGTAAACTCCTTCATTGGGGGTGATAAAACTTTGTTTTGAAGGATACCTAAATGGAAACATACATTTGTATAATAAGACTGAATTGCATGAATTTTGTTCCTATGATTCTTAAATGGTTTTGTTGTTTACCTTTGGCGGCTTGAATAGATAACCGGGAGGGACGTGAATGGAAACTGTTGAGTTAATCGATTGACTGAATCGGCCAAGAGGGGGGTGAATTGGCAATAAAAATTTTGGTGGAAGCTTTTGCAGAAAATTGAAAGAAATTGCACAGCGATTTAGAGTGGTTCGACTTTATCAACCAAAGTCTACGTCCACTACCTTAGCTATCCACACTAAGGATTTTCCAACAAATTCACTAATTTGTTCTTTCTTTTGAGGCCAAAGAGATAACCTTACAACTCCCTCAAGAATATACCCCAATTCTTGAGAACACTCTTTTCTCAAAGAGAAATACAAATTTGCAAACTTATAAGAAAAACCTCACAAGGCAAATGTGTTTGCACAATTCTAGAACAAAGAAAGAACACTCAAGAATAAATACAATTGAGCACAATAAGTGTTCTTGAAAGCAAAATGAATATTGAATGAAAAATAGGCTTGAAATGCTCAAACTTGAGGTTTGATGCTTTCTCTTTGATTCTCTCTTGATTCTAATTGTTTGATGTTTCTTGTTGTTGATCAATGGCTTCTAAACTTGTTTAAATACTCCTTGAATCAATTCTGAACGTTGGTGATAATTAGTGGAGTCAATAGAGCCATTATTGTGTGAAAACAATTAATTTTCTGGGTGGGAGCGTATCATGCATCGATGCATGATCAAGGATGCATCGGTGCATCAGTGTAAAATTCAAATATTTTGACCGTTGGGACACTTAGTGCATCGGTGCACTAAGGATGCATCGATGCATAAAATGCATTCGATGTTTGAAAATATTCCGAGTGCATCGATGCATGGAGAGTGCATCGGTGCATGAAATGCATTCGATGTTCAATTAAATCATAGGTGCATCGATGCATGGTTTGATGCATCGGTGCATCACCTTGAATAATTGTTTTAAGGCTTGATTTTGGTTCAAAATACTTTGTGAAAATTGTTTCAAAAATAGTTTAAGTACAAATCACAATTTTACACATTTAGTAAGGATTAAAATTGATCTTCAAAGACTTGGAGTAATAATTTGATATTTGATAAATTGAATCGAATATAAATTGTAAAATCATTTGTAAAAATCTTAAAATTCATTTAACTTAATTTGTCATATCGAAATATCAAAAATGTTTTTAACAGAAACCGAAAACACCCCACCAGCATAAAGGCTATCTGTTGGACCCATAATCGTTGCTTGCCAAGGGAACATGTCATCTCCAGCAGGACCTATGAACAACAAGCCACACAAATTTACTGCACGAATTCTCCTAAAATCACAATTTCAGTTTATGATGGATTTAGAAAACAAGACTTCACACAAACCTGCACTACAAGAGACGGAAGAATCCTTCTGCATGTCTTTCGGTTCCTTGGTGATCCTCTTAGATGCCATTGCAGAACGTAAAATTCTTCAAATTTGATTAACAACATAACAGAGACAATCCTACCTCTGCAAAAGATTACAATAAAAAAATGGTTACGATCGGTTGAAACTCTCAGAATTTGATTATGAATATCTAATCGATGATGGCAAGACAAAAAGAGAAAAAGAAGAAAACAATCTGAATCCTTGAGATACTGTGGTCTAGAATAAGTGAAAAAGCTGAGGTAGATTACAATACAAATATCTCTAAACCCTAACACACCTAAATACAAAATCATTTTTATGATCTAAATCAACAAACCCTAAAGCATTCGCTTAATAAAATAAACCCATTGCACCAGGAACAAAAAGAATAAATTATTAAAACGTTAGATTCCTGAAAATAAAATAAAAAACCTCAGATTATGCAAAAAAGAAGAAGAAGAAAAAGAACAGCATCCATAGTTCATTGAATAAGATTTCGATTTTCTTTATTTTAATTTATATCATATGCAAAATCCTACTGAGAACAACAAAGAACAACTAATTTTCGTTACCTAAAGTCCTTCCCAAGAAAAAGAAAACCCCTAGAATGAAATAGAGAAATAAATAAGAGAATAAACCTCTCCCTATATATATGGGCAGTAAAGGAACTTCGTTGAGAGTTTAACATGTTAAATATGTTTGATAATTTAAAATTAAAATTATCAATTAGAATTTATTAAAAAAACTGTTGAAAATAATAAGTAGATAAATATCAACTTATCATGTGTAAGTATTTATAATATTTTTATTTTTTAATTATATTACCCTTTAAAATTTACACTTACCAAACTATCTAATTATAATATATATTTTAACCAAAATATCAAACATACCTATAATTTAAATTTAGTATTTAAATTTTGGATAAACTATACGGGAGACCATTAAATTATAGTCAAAAATCAATTTGACCACTGAAGTTTCAATTGAATCAATCATACCACCTAACTATTTAAATATTTCAATCAAGCCACCGACCCTTAATTTTTAACTGAGATGGTGATGTGACTGTTAAAATATTTTGGTATAATTCACAATTGATCCCTATAACTTATATATTCTTTCAATTGGATTCTAATTTTAATAAATTAAAATAAATTTAACCATTGATTGCCACGTGTAATTGGTGAAATCTGTCATGACAAGTGTCTTTATTTGATTGGATGACTAAATTTATTTTAATTTATTTTAAATTTAATAGATTTATTTTAAATTTAATAAATTTATTTTCCACCAATAAGAGGGTGACATGTGTCACCCTATAGTTGAAAGAAAATAAATCCGCACAAAAAATGGGTGAGAGGAATTGAACCCAAGTTACTTGGTTGAAATATTAGAAATCAAACCATTGAACTAAAGCAGTCATTTGATATGTTTTGAACAACAAATAATATATATATTGTTCCTTAATATATAAATGTTTTACTAAAAATTAATGAATATTTTATATATTTTAAAGTTTCAAATTATCTTTTATTTTTGTTTTAACTTATTAAATATATTTATTTTTATTTTAATGTAAAAATATATATTTTATCTTTATCATCACTTAAAAATATATTTATTAAGTATTTTAACTTAAAATACATTTAAATATTTTATTGTTATATTCATTTAAAAATATATTTTATTTTTATTTTAAATTGAAAATATATTTTATCATTATCTAAATCTTTAAAAATATATTAAAATATCTTAACTTCAAAATGTATTTTAATTTAAAAATAAAATATAATTTAAGTTGAGATATTAAAAAAGAAATTTTAAAAGTTAAGATAATAATAAAATATATATTTTTATATTAAATTAATAATAAAATATTTAAATATATTTTAAGTTAAGGTATTTTGTCGAACTTTGCACATTTAAAGGCGCCGGAGAGCAGGCGAAGGTGTTGGAAACCGGATTTAATGGGAAATTGTGAGAACATAAGCTGAGACAGAGTCAGACAGAACAAGACAGCCATCATCCTCATGGGGTCAATTCCTTGCACAGATTTTCAGAGCTTATCAAGTCTTGTTATTTCAGTCATATAATTATTCATCAATAATTCAAGTTAGTCAACTAAAAATAATAATAATCAAATTAAGAAATTACAAGAGAGTTGGATTCAGTCTTCACTCACATTTCAATTGCTTTCCATCTTCCATCCATGGCGGCCAACGACTTGTATTCCCATCTGGGTTTACTTCTAATCTATCTAATATTCCTCTTTCCAATCCCCAAATCTCTCTCTTCCCTTGAGCCTCAGCCTGCTCCGCCCACTGAATGGGATATCCTTCCCCAATACGGTCTCCCCAGTGGCCTTCTTCCCAGCACAGTCACCGACTACGTCCTTCACGACGACGGGAGGTTCGTCGTCATGCTGGCGAACCCTTGTTACGTTCAATTCGAGTACTTGGTCTACTACGAGAAAACCATCACCGGAAAACTGGGTTATGGCTCCATTACTGATTTGCAAGGCATCCAGGTGAAACGATTCTTCTTGTGGTTCGATGTGAATGAAATCAGGGTCGATTTGCCACCCACCAATTCCATCTATTTCCAAGTTGGATTCATCAACAAGAAGCTCGACGTTGACCAGTTCATGACCATCCATTCTTGCCGTGATGAGGTTACCAGGTCTTGTCAATATTCTTGGAAATCAGTTCTTCAGGTAGCCCTGTTTCCCGTCCCTCTGATTTTTGAATTTATTTCGCTGCCTTGATTCTCTGTACCTGGATTCTTATAGTAAGCCATGTTTCAACTGAACTTCTGGACTGACTTTTAAATTCCTTTCCCTTCTTATGGGAGTTTGTTGATTCTCTGTACCTGAATTCTCTGCTTCTTGAAAACTAGGAAAAATACGACCTTATGATTAGTATTTCTCCTGTTTTGAACCTATTAGATGGACTCAGTTATAATAGAGAACGTTATTCTTTATAGAAGATTTGGAGTGTATAATAGAGAACGTTATTCTTTACAGAAGATACCTAGCAGTTCATCGTAATCACGCCTCGCATTTGCTTTTTTCTTAGCTACTTATTGTGTTCATTGGGGCAGGTCGGGCCATGATTTTAAGTGAAAATATCATTTGTAAGCTAATGCTGTTTAATACATTTTCATCCCATGTTTGTTGTCTCAGCTTCCGGTGCCCACAAACGAATTTGAGATGCTGATTACCGAGTAGCTGCCACAGACTGTTGTTTCTGCGTTGTCAAGTGGATAGGGAGTGAAGCAGTTGATAGTAAAAAGATTGAGGCTCATGAAAATGTTTTATAAGAAGATTCTGTAAATAATGAAGTCTAGTTTTCATGTATGAGTTGTGAAGAATAATGTTGCTCACAACTTTAGCAGTACCCATTGCCTTTGCCGCCTGAATCCCCAAGGTTGTGGTTTCAGATTTTTATTTTATTATGTATGTCTCGAATACTAAGAGATCATGTTATAAAGGCAATTTTATGCCACTTATATGGAAGGGAAAGGTGGTAAGGCCACTTATATGTCAAGCTACAGAGATGTCCAAATAATTTGTTTAAAATTAATAATTAACATTAACTAAAAAATAATTAGATTATTTTTAATGTAATATTTTAATTCGGTTGAATATAGAAAATAGTAATTTAATTATTATTTTTTTATAAAAATGGGAATTTTATGCACCCTAATGCCTTTTATTTGGTGCTTATTAGGAAGTAGTTGAAGAGAAAGCAGTAAAACGTTTATTGAAGTAAAACATTTATTGATACTCTGATTACAATACAAGGGCTGCTGTGTTTATATACTGCACAGGTAGCTTAACAGAATAACCTCTCTTAACAACCAGCTTAACAGCTTCCTAACTGCCTAATATTCTTCTAAACATACTCATTCTTCTAACATTCTCCCTACTTTCTCAACCTTCTTGACAAAAAGATGAACAATTGAGTCGAAAGTGCTGATGCTTCCTTCCGTTCACTTTGAATCGAAAGTGTCGATGCTTTCGATGCTTCCTTTCGTTCTTCTTGAACCGAAAGTGCCTATGCTTCCTTCCGTTCACTTTGAATCGAAAGTGCTTATGCTTCCTTTCGTACTTCTGATTCACCTTCATTTCTTTGTTCTTCACCCTCTTTTACCCGATTCCTTGAAATTTTTTTTATGGACTTTTAGCTGAGAAGCTTTCAAGTCCCATAACACTTTTGAGATATAAGCAATAAAAGCAACAAAATGAATGCAAAATTAAACTTCTGTTTACTTACACAAAAAAATTATACTACTATGCAGAAATAACATCATGGTCTCCAGTGTACCCATAAACGGAATCTCTGTTATAAGTTCCCATTGGCAGAATTATTAACCTGAAGAGTGTGGTGATCATAAGCCTCAATCCATTTCCCGCCTATTAGACCCAGCGTTCGGAATATGGGGGAATTTTTAAGCGCAGAAGCGACACTACCCATCTGGCGAGCGCGAAAATGGCTCTGAATCTCAGTCTCATTGCCTCGATTTCTCAGAAACTCCCTTGCCATGCTCTTCCTCCCAAATCCACTCTCAGATCTCCCAAGTTTTCCATGATCTCCACCATTCCTTATGGCTCCAAAGATGTTGGGAATCTGAAAAAGCCTTTCGCGCCTCCACGGGAGGTGCCTGCTCAGATCACCCACTCCATGCCGCCTCGTAAGGTTGAGATCTTCAAATCTCTGGAAGGATGGGCCGAGAACAACATCCTGACTCACTTGAAACCAGTCGAGAAATGTTGGCAGCCCGCCTACTTTCTCCCGGATCCTAATTCCAATGGTTTTTATGACCAAGTCAACGAGCTCCGGGAAAGGGCAAAGGAGATTCCCGATGATTACTTTGTCGTTCTGGTGGGTGATATGATCACGGAGGAAGCCCTTTCCACTTATCAAACAATGCTTAATACCTTGGATGGAACTCGCGATGAAACTGGTGCTAGCCTTACCCCTTGGGCCATTTAGACCAAGGCATGGACTGCCAAAGAAAACCGGCACGGCGATCTGCTTAATAAGTATCTCTATCTCTCTGGAAGAGTGGACATGATGCAAATGTGATGAGAAGATCATAGAAACCGCCATAATTCGTTGCAATCTCATGTTTCCTGATGCAGTAAACGACGCCGGTTTAGCAGCCGTTGCCGCTGCCGAAGACGCCGATGACATTTTCTCCTCCTCTTCCATGCAGCGAAAGAACAAATGAAGTCAGGACCGTTTGGCGAATGATACCATATTAGGAAGTAGTTGAAGAGAAAGCAGTAAAACGTTTATTGAAGTAAAACATTTATTGATACTCTGATTACAATACAAGGGCTGCTGTGTTTATATACTGCACAGGTAGCTTAACAGAATAACCTCTCTTAACAACCAGCTTAACAGCTTCCTAACTGCCTAATATTCTTCTAAACATACTCATTCTTCTAACAGTGCTGAAGCCATACATAATTTGATTTAGCAGAATCACCCGTTGTTTTAGGGGCATACCCAAACCATTGTGAGTGTCGGCCACCCGAAAGTCCTCAAAATAAACACATCAATCAACCTAATCTTTTCTCTCTTTGGCAGTGAAGTGATGTTCTCTTCAAAATAGAATCATTCCTTAAAATCAATTGTCGTAATCGATTTTCGTTTGGGTACGAAAATTTTACTCAGCAAGAAAAGTGATGTGAATAAATGGTTTTTAAAATGTTTTTGGGAGTCGCCATCGGCCTTTTGAGTCAGGTAGGTCGAATACCTAAAAATTATCTTTTTTTAAAAAAAGTTTTTAAGAAAACATCGGTTAAAAGATAAACTTATCTGCGTTTAACCAAAAATTCATTCTTTTTAGAAATAAAAAAGACTCGTGGTCGGTTACATTTAGGGAAGGATTATCACCCCTATAACGTCCAAAATTGGTACTTTATTAATTATAAATTGTCTCTATTGTTAGAAATTTAAGAATTAAAAGATATATTTAATTTATAATTCTGTTATTTCAAATTTATAATTTTAAGAAAATTTATTTATTTATATATATTTATAAATAAAATATTTATTTATTTAGAAATATCAGAAAATGACTTCTAGGTGCCTTAAGACAGCTCTTTTCTTCGACATTAAAAAATAAATAAATGACTAAAACATTTTTTAAGATAATAATAAAAAAAATTATTTTAATATAGTAAGATATTTATTTATTTAAAAATATCAGAAAATGGCTTCTAGGTGCCTTCAGACAACACTTTTCTTAGATATAAAAAAATAAATAAATATTGTTATTTAAACAAATATATATATATATATATATATATTTATATGACTAAGATGAAAATAATAATAAAAATAATAATAATAATGAAAGTAATAATAAAAAAATAAAAATAATAATAAAATAATATTGCAAATAAACATATAAAATTAAATTAAAATATAAATAAATAGTGACTAAAATAAATAAAATTAAAAATATATATTTAAAATATAAAAAGCAATAAAGCTTGTAATGAAAAATAAATGAAGATATTAAAAATAATGACTAAATTAGAATATATTAAAATTAAATACCCTAACTCGTAATATTATGAAATATAATAATTAATAGTGTAATTTAACCTTAATTATTTATTCAGGGCTAAAATAAAATTTATAAAATTATGAGGGACTAAATGCTATATTTATCATAAAAATATATATATGAATAATGACTAAATTATAAATTAATTAAAATTATAAGGCCGATTTGAAATAACCAGGAATTGCTTTTAGTGACTAAATTGAATAATTACAGAACTATAAGGGTTGCAGAAAGGGTTTACCCTTTCTGAAATTACACAGATACCCCTCCCCAAAACGATGTCGTTTGGAGAGGGGTACAAAATCCCAAAATCCGGCTCCTAAGAGCCATTCTCTCCTCATTTCTGGTTTTGCTTCTCTCTCAACAGAGAGAAAAGCTCTCAATTTTTCTCGCCGGAAGAGAAAACCGGCCATCGTTGGCCACCGTTTCCGGTGTCTATCTCTGCCGCCGGCCACCGTTCACGGTGGCTGGAAATTACAAAACCCACCCCAAATCGAAACCCTTATTTTTCTATACCCAAATCTAAGGTTTTTTTAGTATAAAACTTTACCAATCGTCGTAGATCTAGGATAGTTTCGTTCGACGCTTCGGTTCTCCGGTGGTTCCACGGTGGTTTTGGAAATTCCTCGGTGGTAAGTTCCTTCCTCTTTGTTTTCTCTCTTTCTTTTCTGTTGATGGTTGTTGTGGGTTCTTGTTTGCTATCGATGTTCCTCGTTCTCCCTTGCTCTCTGTCCTTTTTTTGTTGCTTTCTCTGTTTTTTTTTCGTTTCTTGCTGTCTGTGTGTCTTGTCGGTCCTTATTTTCTTTGCAGGTTCAATGGTGGCTTTTATAGGCCACCACGATGTCCTCCTTGGACCGGTTAAAGGGTGATAACCTCGGTGAGTCACCAAACTATGGTGGTGACTCACCCTTAAGGCTTTAACGTGGGTGGTAGGAGTTGTGGCAGCAAAGCTTCTGGAGGCTTCGGCGAGGCGGCAGCATCGTGGCATTGTTAGAGTGGAGCATCTGGCAGTGGAGGCGTGGAGGCAGCGACGTCTGGAAGATGGAAAGGCGATTGGGGTCTTTTGGAAGCGGTGGCTGGGAGCTAGGGTTTAAGAACCCTAGCTGAAACCCTAAATATTTAGGGTTTTCATCTGGTCTGGGCCGGTCTTGGATGGGCCTGGGATTTGTAAGATGGGCCTGGATTATTTGTATTTGGGCTCCCGGGATCTGGGCTCATTCTTTGCTCATTCTTGGGACATTATTGTGTTAATAAGAATAGAGCAAAGACGAAAAAACATTAATTTTTCATTTGACTTCTTTTGAGTAAGACTGAAATGTTGAAAACATCATTCCAGAGGTCTTAAAAACATCATGCACTGAAGGGCTTACAGATGACCCGAAGGTTTTGAAAACATCAAAAAGCTCCCGAAGGTTTTTTGAAAACATCATGCACTGTAGGACTTACAGATGACCCTAAGGTTTTGAAAATATCAAAAAGCTCCCGAAGTCTTTTTGGAAACATCATGCACTGTAGGACTTACAGATGACCCTAAGGCTTTGAAAACATCAAAAAGCTCCCGAAGGCTTTTTGGAAACATCATGCACTGTAGGACTTACAGATGACCCTAAGGCTTTGAAAACATCAAAAAGCTCCCGAAAGCTTTTTGGAAACATCATGCACTGTAGGACTTACAGATGACCCTAAGGCTTTGAAAACATCAAA